GATGCCAAATAATATGATCATTAAAATAATAATAATAATGATAAATATGAAATATTCTTTATATTATATACCTATTATAATATATTTTGACATATTTATACAGACAGACAGTTTTGATCGGCCGTCGTCCTCTCTGCTGGTAATGTTATTATAAATTATAATCTACAGTAGTTGTTTTCGTTGCAGCTGTATATTAATAAACTACACACAACTTGATCGCACACACGCACGCGCACTCAAACGTCTCGCGGTCGGCGGTTATTAAATATTAATCGAATTTAATAATATTTTTTCTCGCCGCCCGCTCCTACCGCAGCACACATAATATAATATACATATAGGTGTAAGTATACTGTTGCTATATCATATCCACGTTATTACCCGTGTATATAGGTATAAAATACACACACACAAACACACTCACACCACGCACGTACACACACATACGCGTCATAATATCACGTATATACCTAATATGCCGGCCCGTACGTGTGTAATTTATATTTAATTCCGCCGCTGCCGGACTCGAGAGTTAATAACTATTATATTATTATTATTATTCTTATACGATAAGAGACATGAACGCGCGCGCGCGAGCGGGTATCAGCAGCGGCAACGATATTATCATCATGGATATTATTATACGAGCGACGGATCGGTTGCAGCGGCCGCGGCAGCAGCTCTCTCGCGCGCGCCCGCTAATCGATTTAGTTAGTCGGTTAGTTAGCTGCGGTCGGCCTCTCGCTCACTCTTCCTCTCTGCACGTATCTCCATGCAGGTCTGCCAGTCCATGTGTCCCTCTCTTTCTATCGATTGCTCCATCTCTCCTAACTACGTCGATCCGTCAGTCACTCCTCCACCTCTCTCTCGCACAAATGCATTATTTCTCTCTTTCCGTCGATCACGCTCTCTACACGTCCCTTCCCCCACCCCGAGGTCGAGATAGGTACCTTATTCTGGTCGAAATCCGCCGACGTCCGTTCGATGTCCATCATCGGTACTACATAACGTAGGTATATGAGTCCGCCGCGGGCAAATGTAATTTAGACGATGATTAATATTAACGACGACGAAAATACAGTGTGTAGTACATAAATAGTAGTAGATGATAATAATAATAGTACTATATAAATGTGTGYGCGAGCCTGCGATTACTAAACATCATTAAATAACAACGATAATTATTGTAATACGTACCCGACTGTGCGCGTAGTACTTAAGTACAATAAATATTCAATTATTAATATTGTTGCGGTTGTGTACACGACATACGTATACCTGCATTGCCGACCCACTCGCTAACTACATACACCATACATGTATATATTAGTTGTTATATAGGTATCCTGGTATACATAAGCACTTAATAATACTACGAGTATATTATCAGCGGGACCCCACAAGAGAGGGGCTGCTGGACTTGGTACCCACCCAGTTATTTCAGGGACCCGTTGAAACGGATTTGTAATTTGAAATTTTGAAATACTGATAAGAATACTCGTTATATATATTAAATAATAATTTATAGGTCTCTCAAAAGTATTTATTACACTTGAGGTGGGGGCTGCTGATCAGCAAGTCGYATAGTGTTAGAGTGAAGCTGTCCTTAGTTGTTTACAATATGTAGGTAGAAAATGTATGTAACCTACATGATTTTACGTATATTGTATTAATATAGTTAAATAGGTATCATATCATATCATATATGGATAATAAATCCCATCGCTTGTCTCAGCGCCTATAATTTATGTATTTTAMAACTACATACACAATATTTTTATTATTATTTCTGCAAAAGAAGACGATTATAACAAAAAAATTAATACAATTATCAAGGTATAAATGGTATAATAGGTATATGCAATACATTTTACATAATATTATACTGAAAGACTGATAATTCAAAATAATTATCTCAAGTGAARCCGAGTTAAGTGAACATGAGATCAAAATCACAAATTGCAAGCTAATAGATAATATACATATAATGACTTTAACTCACCGAGTTTGTTAAGACGKAAAAATATATTGACTTGGCTCAATATTAAAAAAGTTAATGTTTATTGTTTAGACATTACTCTGCAATACTACAAAATATACKTTTTTTCTATRACTGAATGCATTTTAAAATTGTATACACAATTCATTAATCGATATTAAAAGTGTATTATGTGATTAATGTTAATCTGTACTTCGTATTTAGTATGGTGAATAAACTAGATTTATATTATACAGCGAGTTTGTCTATACTAAATGTTTTGAAGATATTCAAATTGATCTTAAAATGAGACAATGAGCTGTAATTGCACCCTATACAATRCATTACTTAACTAGTCATCGTCATCATAATGTATATTCATATCAATCCTACCAGTGGCTAATTATCATCGTTGTTGGACGGCCAGAACTATAGGTATAGGCACGGAGAGATATTTTTTTATAAATATAGTTTTAAATAGCGGTGTCGCCTCACGCCATAATATAATGGCCAAAGATGATTAGGTGGTCTATTATATACATTATATTATATCATATATTTGTGCGTGTATGATCAGTAGAGATTTAGAATGCAGCGGTGGTTARTCGCTTGTGAGTAATGCACGCGTGCGCTACTCGTAAGCCGATAGTGCAACGACCGATTTTATATTTTACTAGCTGATCTCCGTGCACTTTGTTGCCCGTTAAAAATACCAAGACTATATGGTTCAAAAATTGTGTTTAATTTGTCGTTTAATACCCGGATAATCATTTTTAAAACTTCCCGCAACAAATTCACGTGGATTTATTCTATTTTTATTTCCATTAAAGATTTCTAACACAGTCATATAAAATACAGGATTAAAATTATATTCAATCATTGTATTTTTAGCTTTGTAAAGGTGAAAAGATTTTTAAAATTGGTATCTAATAACAAATTGCTCATTTTTTATTCATCGACACTAAATTATATGACCAATACCAACCCTATAATAAACAAAAATATATTTATATTTATTATTATTATTTCTATAATTTTCAATTTTGCAATTAAAAAATTAAGTAACACTTATCAAGATATAATATACCTAGCATATTTCTGATGGAAAGAATTTTAAATCGGTTCAGTCGTCTCAGAGATTAAACCGAACAAACAGAAATTTTTCTTCTTAATATTATATGTATACCCTTTTAACCCCAGTAGAAGTTTAATTTCAAAAAATGATTTCTTAGGGGGTTTTTGCATCATAAAATGAATYTATTGACTAAATTTTATACTCATCGTGGATGTCTACATCACAAAACAAAACTACAGTCCAAATTTTATACTCATAACTCATGACATCAATGGTTTCGGCTAGGGAATAATGAGTCACCCAGGATAAGTCATTATATATATGTATACAATTTTATTTTGGCATGTAAACTATATAAACCTATGAACAGTTTAAACCAATGTAAACGGTTCCAGTACGCTTTACGAGTTGCAGCACTATACAACTGGAGTTGTATATCAATCAGCTTTCAGCTGTACATCTCCAAAACACAGTATCTGTATTTTTTATAATTTTATTTTGCATAGGTATGTAATAATTATTTTTGTAAATTGTTTCAGGATGAACATTGAAATTGCTCTGTATTCAGTGCTTGCAATATGATAACTCCTGAAATAATGGTATGACTCCAAAGGGGCTTGGATAAAATAATTTAGCATGGATTGTTGCAAAAGATTATGCTTAATTTTTTTTAATAAGAATATTATGGTTACTGTTTATTGACATCGTACATCTGCATTGGCAAATAATTAATAAGTAAGGTACATACATCCATCGTTGACGGTCATCATTTTATCAGTATATATATAAATTATATGTAGTATGTACCGTAGTCACATACAGGCCTGAATCCTAACATGTGTACGAACTTCTATTACATGAATTTATACTTGGCCTTATAAGAGATACATTATTATTGAGACTAGCGGATAGGCTTTCTAGTGATCACAATAAGCACAACGTTTGTAAACGAAAAAATATTCTGTAAAAATAATACTAGATATTCGGTAGATACACAGTTTAGGTGTAGTGTGTATTTGATGAAGTTAAAGAAATAATAGAACCCAAAATCTTTATACATACATATAAAATAATAGGCCTTTTTTATGTTCCAATTTTGTGACGAGGGTAATTAACTTTTTTCCAATTTTTTTCACAGAGATTTTTAGTTTTTTACCATCAGAAAGCTACACTATCCCACGAACCTATAAGCTATACTTTATATTGATGGAGTGGTCCTTAATTTTTTTATTGTAAATTAGAGATTTTTATAGAAATGATATATATAAATATATTTTTGTTCGTCATAGGATTGATATTAGTTTTACTATTTAATATGGAAGAATAAGAGATTATTAAATTATTATTTTAGTCCTGTATTTTAAATGCCTGTCTTAAAAATCTTTTATGGAGATTAAGATAGGGTAAATCCTCAAGTCACGAGAAGTTTAGATCATCACTAGTCGAGTTTAAACGACGAATTAAACAAAAATTTGAATTATATAAAGAGTCGGTATTTTTAACGGGCAACGACGGTAGTTTATTATAAAAAAAAAAGTACGTAAGTCGTAATGCATACACAAACAAACTTTACAGCTTAAACGTGTACACATATCTGACTTGTGTGTAACAATTATTAATATGATGAATTCAATAACGATAATCGGGTGATTAGCCGACGTCGTCGACTACGAAGTGTAGTCCATGTAGGTGTCTACGTAATGACCTATAGGAAGCAGTAGGGTTACCGGTCAACAGGGCCGAGGTTTTATTTAATAATAATTGCTATACATTACACATAATATATTAAAATGTCCAAAGAAATGAGAGAAGGATGCTGATTGTAATATTTCCCTTCCTCTTGTGTTGTTGTTTCGACTGGTTAAACTGGTAAAATTAATTTTTTTACTGGAAATGTGGTCCACCATAAAAATTAGATTTATATGTCGATAATTATGTTATTTACAGGCACAACATGTATGTGTTTTATTGAATGATTCACTATACATATAAGTAATAGGTATTTCCTGCAATAGTTATGATTGATATGAATGATATGAAACATTAATATGTAATCGACGACAACCCAATTCATAACTGAGACAATTGTAAAAAATTGGTTTTTTGGATCTAATGTGTTTTCTATCTTGGTGTTCTGTGTAACGTAACGTGAATTATTATATTGAAAATGTTTATAATTTAACTATATTTTATTGCGTTATTGAACTTAATTCGTTATGAGGTTGTAATGGTTGTATACATAACATGGATTTTTTATACCTCAAGTTGTTTCAGTTTTGTACTGGGCGTCGTGAGTACATTATGTAAATGTCATTAATTATAGATTACATTTTTATCGTCTGTACTCTGAAGGTATTTCATTTTCGGAAGAGTTTATTTTGCCAAATTATTTGGGAAATTTCCAAGACGTTTTTGTACTATTAAAAAAAAAAAAAAAAACAAATAAGTAAATAAATGTATTTTAGAAATAAAAATGATTGATATCAATACAATGAGCGTATACATTTAACAGAATATACTCACAACTGGTATAATATTTTATAAGTTCTGTAAAGGTTCGTAAACTTTTATTTTCTCGTAGGCACCACACAAGTACTACTTATGGTTAAAAATAAAACTTTTCGAAATTTCAATACATTTTTAATAATGATATAATGAATACAAATAATAATTTAGGTATTAACATTCAACAGTATTTAGTATCGGTTTACACAAAACATAAACAATATTAGATTCCGTTAAAATATTTGTTTATTAATTGTCTGTACAACAATCYCCACATACAACTAATGGTACGTGTGTACCATAGTTTGTGAATCACTGGTATACTGTGCACGAGTGGGTTATGAAAAAGGTTTGTGGGCATAAATGTTTTTGGAATCGTTTTTATTTTGTGATTTGGTGGCAATCGTGCACTTATCGTTATCCAGACTCTTGCCTCCCGAATAACAGCCACTGGTACGGGGGATGGTATACGTTTAAACCAAATAAATTTCATCTTGCCCGCGTCTTAAAAATGAATACGCTTGCCGGGTTCGCCAGCTACTTACGAACTCTGTAATTTCCATACCTATAATATACAATCCGTACAAAACGTACAATAATAATTATGATTTTCAGTGATTAGTGACCCGTCGTCCGGTTAGTATGCGAGAGTAATCTATATTGTACCCATATATACTGTATAATATGTATGCCTATTTTGGGTATAATATATTATATCTAAATACCGAATATTCCATTCCAGTGCCAAGATTAAAATATTATACACCATGCCGWTGAGCGGCGGCGGCGGACTACGCCCAATTTCGTACGCCGGAGAATTTCATTAACCAWACTCGGYGGTGGCGGTGGTGGACGACGGGGTAATGACGACGAGAATAATAATGGAAAAATTAGTAGCGAACGAGTAGGCGGAGGGGTGCACCTAACCTATACACAAGAGGAGGAAAAAAATTAACCGTCTAATAGGTAATAACAGTAGGTACTTGCATTGCGATATAATAATATTATTTACCTATAATAACATAATATATACTCAGACAACCTATATAATATTATTATAACGTAGGTGCACGATGCGCGCGTATAGAAACTAGTTATCCGTCGTCGTCGTCGTCTTCTTCGTCTTCTTCGTCTTCTTCGTCTTCTTCGTCTTCTTCGTCGTCGTCGTTGTCGTCGCTGCCGCCGGCGGCGTCCTTCATTACCATAATATAATAAACGAAATAATAATCATAATATCGCGCGCGCCGCCCGGGTACCTTGTAGTAATATTTTGTAATTTAATTATAATCACGGCGACGGCCGAGGCGCGGTCGCGGATACTCGTTAGCGTTTCCAACGAATTAACCGAAGCCGCCGCCGCTGACCTTGGCCTATAATTACTATACACACCACCGGGTTATGTTATTATAAGCGGTAGCGCGGCGGTGTGGGAAATTTAATTAAAAAAAATAAAAAAATAAACCGCTATCGTTTATTATTATTATATCGTCGTTCGTCGTTATTATTAGTTATAATTTATTTTTTTATGACAGCCAGTCGTAAAGCCCGAGGAACGCCGAGGGGGTGTGTAAGTTTTGGTGAGACAAATTTCACGGTGCTCCGCTTCGCTTTTTACACACCTCRTGGGCTATAACAAGGGGTTGCCTCTGTTTGTGTATATAAAACTCAAATATCATGATAAAACGATGTACCTACCTATGTTAGAATGGGTAACCGGACAATTTCCTCCCGACATTTATTTACCTCCAATATATTTTCATAAAAATAATAAATAATAATTGCAAATGCAATTTTATATAGGTAGGTATTTACATAAAATATAATCGATAAGTAATAACTAATAAAAATGACTACATTTTTTTTTTCATGAACATAATAAAACGTAAAAATTATTACTATTATTTTATTGTTTTAAGTAGTTGAATTGATCAAAAATATATATCTACTATAATAAGTAATTATTTAATTATAGTATAGTTGATTATTATATTTATGAAAAAAAAAAAAAAATATTTTATTGAAAAAAATAATTCCTTATTAAATAGTAAACTTAAAAAAAARGGGGGGAAATTTCCACATCGAAAATATATTGGAGGGAATATGTTCTACTACACCAAAAACAGTTGGGGGGAAAATGTCCAGGGGGAATTCGTCCGCCATTCATTAGAATGCCGATAGGATGCCCATTGGCTATATTACTACTCATTAGAAAAATAACAGTGGCGCCCAATCTTATGTTCAGCTAGGGCGACCGCTCGACATGTGAAAGTGGGGGTGAGGGGTGGACCGTAGGTGGTTGGGATGGTTGTGGGTGAGAATAGGTTACGATTGTGATGTATAAAAATAATATTCATATAAGGAGAAATCAAATATAAATATTCCTGAATATCAAAAACCGATGCGAATACCCGATTTAGTTAGGTGTTTCTGGATGGGGTGAGTATTAATTTTTGTACTTTGCCCTACCTATAAAAATTGAGTTCGGCGCCACCGTAGAACAATATGAAAATGTAATGGTATTATGGAGGTATGTATAGCCATGTACCGAAATGTCACTTGTTATGAAAATTAAAAACTAAATATTTCATTATTTAAATATGGGTGCTTTAATTATCTTATAATTCCAAGTTAATGGGCCTGTTTGCTTTTTATCAATCGAATAACATCGGGAGTTAGGAGTGTAAAGCGTGTGCCTCAACACAACGTAATTATCAGGTTCTGATCGCGCCGTCGCGGACAGAGAAAAAAAGTTGAACATTTTGTTTTTTGTGGAATAGATTATTGGCAATAGGGTTAATAGGCACAAGTGCGGCCACAGGATAAGATTCCTAAGATCGAAATGTTAGGACAAATATAGTATAGTGGGTTTAGTTTACTTATTTTGGTATACCCTTTTTATATGTTTTAATTTATTGCATACTTATTACTTATATTACTGGGTAAATAATAATAGATCATTTTATTCTAGAAATATTTTCTTAACTATATAATATGATATGTAATGTACATTATACGCGATATTAAATTATATACAGACATAGAGTTAAAAAAATTCTCAAGTGAGATGGACAACGGCTACTTCGCCTTATAGAAGCCACTGAGTATAAGCAAACATATCTAAAATTTATCTCCACATTCGTAGGCCATGACGATTCGTTCYGACGCTCCCGTTTCGATGTCCAGTCTGCACGTCAATGAGCATACTACGTAATATTGCTACGTAATATTATATTATAGCGGTATTTATGTCAAAATTGAATATTTTTAAACGGWTTAATCGATTACCTACTGTCAGCCGTCTGGAATACATCGATTAATGAAATATCGGATTATGCCTACTAAACACACTACAGTACTACAGTATTTTAATTTACCAATACTATAGGCATTAGGCATGGTAAGTGCCAAGCGGCCATATACAAAATGATTTGATCAAAAATTAAAACAAGACAACGATGAGGTATAATAATATCATTATAAGGACATTTTACAACTAAAGCATACGAAAACGCGAGCTGTAGTAACAAATTAGGTATGGTAAGTGAAAAAAAAACAAGTGGTGCAGGTGACGTCGTCGTCGGTGTCACGGTATACCTGCCAGTACCCATAGAGTGTGAGCAAAGCAGGTGCTTTACACTTAAACACTTTTAAATAGTTTTATTACTGCGCTTTGTATATAAATATAAATAATATATATATATGTAGTTATAGTATAACAGTTACGGTTGTCAATATTGTCTGCACGCTTAGTAAAACAATAATAATTTGTATTGTTATACACGGCAAGTTGTAACAGTTAATTCACAAGTACTAAATAATTTCAAATCACCACGCGCCGTCGCAATAAATAATCATGAAAAAAAAAAACAAACCTAATATAGGCAATCGTCGCCGGTGGGTCGTTACGCGCGGCGATTACAATAAATTAGAGCAGCGGTTCCCAACCTGTGCACCGCGGTGCCCTAAGGGACACCATGGCTCATCCGAGAGTGAAAAAAATTAATAAATTATATATTAAAAATGTATTATAGTTGAAAAGATAATAAATTGTTTTACGCACAAAACTACTTAGCATACTATCTGTATATCTAATATTAAATATAGTATTCCTAATACGTGTCGAATAATTCAATACTAGACATAAACAGATAAAAATATTGCCAAACTTTCCAAAAATAAGCTGCCTCAAATACCTCATTAATATTATCAGTTTTTCACTATTAAAGCAGAWTTTTTTCTTTTTACTTTCAACTATAAAATTATAATTTGTTAATAATATGTTAAATAAAATTATTTAAATCAGTTATGAATGAAAACTAGTCTTTATTTTTATCACGTTCTTC